GTTCCAATGATTGACTTCACGTTCGATAGACACAAACCGTTGATACGGACGACGACACGAATTCGATTTTTAGATTTCTTGACCGTCTTGTCTATCCTACCGACTGTGCCATTTACGTGTGGGTCAATACAAAAAGCCTTTTTAAAAAAGGTCTTTATTAGAAGCAGAATACAAATGAACTATTCTCGCTTGGTTTCGAGTTGTAATTGTAACCTCGGTACATGTTCTTATCTTTGCTTAGTGTTCGATTAATTTATGCTTATAATTCAAGTTGCAAGAGTCAATTCAAGAGTCATAATAGAGGTGCGACTTTTTCTCTAGCACACCCTATATATGTATATCGATATACAGCGATATGAAAATCGGCATTGTGTTCACACAAATAGTACATACATTGCTAAATTAGATTGCTTAACACATCTTTGCAGGACAAGATGAATCAAAGACATAATAATATAATTAAATATTAAATAGATAAAATAACGTAATTCATAGGGTCACACTTTTTTAGATTACTGAACATTTATAATTAAATTATAAAATTTAATACTTTTAAAATATTCAATGAAATAATGTCAATAGACTCCAACGATAATTAATATCACTTCGAACGAAATTTGTAAGAGCCCGTTAACGAATTCGAGTCTTAGGCCGTGTTTCCACAAGCCACTTCTTGAAGTCGTTACCGGCCACACAAAGTGATTGCTCTGTGGACTTCAGAAAATAATAGAAAACTCGTCTTAAAACGAGGCTAATTCCTCATCTCCATGGAAGATGGTTTCTGTCCAACAATTTAAATAAAAATTTCACGGCGGTCTTCACCACTTTATTAATTTACACGTACGCGGTAAGCACAATCTTTTTTTGAAATAGTTCATCTGTTGTGACAAAAAAACTTTGTTAAATGGTTGTTAAAAAACAAAAAGAGGTTTTAGGCTAGAGCCTTTTTAAAGGACAAAATGACATATGAAAAATTATTAGAAGACCTATGTCCTAAAATATCGGAATATCAATATGCTATAGTCAATAAACTGATTATTTTTGGGATATGGCATAGTTAGAGATATTGCATTGATTTGATTTCGCGATTTTTTATGACATTAAATTTTACTTACCGATGATATTTTAGAAGCAATCGACGAATTATTAGTTGAGGATAAATCAATGTGCCTCGCGTGCAGTTGGTTCCAAAGAGAAATGCCCATTCTTACAGTTCCTGCGCTGCCCCCGACCACCATGTAGATTGGAATATTGGGCTCTCGTGGGCAGTCTCTGAAATACTTAATTCCTGTAAAAAAGAAAAATGTGCTCTTAGCTATCCATTTGTATTTCCTTGTGCAGGAACGCTTGCAGATCAATAACAACCAAAATTCAGGTAGTCATTATTTAGATCAATTTTCAGCATTTACAATTTATCTGGTAAAATAAAGTCCATTAATGAAGTCCAAAAATATAACATTTTCCTCAAATACCAAAAAAGGTGAAATTAAATTAGATAAAACGATTGCTGAAAAAGCAAAGCAATGGTTCTAACAATAGGTTTAAAAAGCCACCAGCAATTGTATTTTACATTTGTGTCTTTATAATTCGGCCATTGCATTTAATTTTAATTAAGATAAACATTCGTTGTTGAAAATGTTCGCGAAGACTGGGAACTGCATTGACATAGTTAATGCTTTGTTAGATTCAATAATAGAAAATATAATATCAAATAAAAATCTGACTCTAGCTGCAAACAACCAGTTTCGATATCAGACTGAAACTTGCTACCGTGTTAATTTTGAAACCGAATATATTATATAATTTTTGCAATGATAAATTTCCCAAATCAGTGGCGATCTTTAATTTGAAAATTTTCCTTTGAAATAGATTAGCAATTTATTCTCTTGAGCAAATTATTGCTGAAAAACGCATTTCAGTATAGGTTAATCATTAACCTCGTATATTGTGTATATTTTACCCGTTAATTGACTATAAATTATTCAAAATTAGCAATTTTAGTTCTATTCCATATCGCATTGTCAGCGGTTCGCATATCATATTTAGGTCAATCGTATAACAGAGCAGCATTCAACCGCAAACACACAATTTAAATTGCAATAACTGAGCTAGTTCAAAGCCCAAACTAATCTTACAATGCATCCGCATTTCCTCGGCAATAATCCAACGTTAGTTATGAGTTGAGTTATGCACTTAGCTTAAGGACGTATAACTTCTCAATTTAGATACCATGGCCGCATACAAAGTAAGTTCTTTGTATTGAAATATTATTGCTGTGATCGGTGCCAATTCTTCTCCTTCTTCTGATGCCATTTTCATCAAAGATTGGCGATCATTATAACAATTTTCACTTTGAAGGCTGCTGTTCTGAAGAGAAAATTTTGCAGAAATTGTGTTTCCGCAAAACTACTGCCTCATTGGTTGGCTGAAGAATTTCAGCCAGGATGTCTGTCTGCGGCCGGTAGCCCTCCTTATTTCTATCTTCCCCTGGATAATCACGTGCACGAGACGGTATTTTTAATTGCGCTTCACATGGCCGAAATATGTTAGTTTTCCTTTCTTTACAGACTCATCTCAAATGAGCTTATTTTGTTTTCCAAAGCGTGAATCAGCGTTCATCTTTCCACACCATATAAAACAATGGGAAATCATAACACTTGACCATTCTCAGGCGCAAGTCCATATTATTTTTTTTGCATTTTGATTAACACATTGCGAGCGTGTTCAAAGGGACTGCGAATTTCCTGACGTACATCCCACACCGTCTTTATAATACATGGATGTTTTGCCTCACAGAAACCTCCGAGCGTGTAGCGTTTGGATTCAAAAAGTGTAAATTGATCTGCAAAATCTTGCTCACTGCCAAATGGCATGATAAATATCAAGATGCCCGCATTTCCGCAAGGATTTACTGAAGTTCTTCTGCTGAAGCAATAAGCACCGTATCATCGGTATAGCACACATTTTTAACTCGCTAACCGTTGATTAGAATGCCTTCATTAGTGTCATCTTAGGCATTTGCCATTAATATTTCAGCATACATGTTGAACAGCACATCTGTCACATCACATACCTCACACTATGCTTGATAGGATAAGCACCAGGCTGTACTTTGTACTCTCCACTAGCACCCTTAGGAAATTCCCCACTGTTGTATACAGTGTTTTGCAGCTAAGTCAGCTATCTGATTCCCACGGAGTCCAGCTCTCCAATATCGCCATGGGTTTCATCAGGCTCGAAATCAGACAGGAAAAAACGCGAATAATTACAATCGAGGAAGGATGGTTAGGATGGGAAGGAGGCTAATCGATGAAGGATGGTCAACAAACACAGTAGCTGGGAAATTTGGAAAACCGAAGAGCACTATTATAAAGAAATTAATTAAATTGTCAAATTAAAAAAAGTTTGTGACATATATCTGACATATAATTGACGTTTTCCACAAAGTCTGATTAACCAAAATCGGGCAAAATCGTCTTTAGGTCTTTAGGTCTACTTTTACGTGACGCCAATTGTGCAGGGTCATTGATTGAACTTTGGCCACCCGTTTTCGCATCTAATTTGAAATTTAGAGAAAAATGTTAAATACAAAAGTTGTAGATATTAATGTCTAGTTGATATATATTAATGGGTTGTCTCAAATTCAAGTGGCAGACCAAAAGTACCTTTTTTTAAATGGAATGCCGTACTTTTTATTGCATATTCAAACTATTCGCACAATTCTAGACATATTCGATTCTAATTAGGCAACGAATTTGTTACGTCGAGGAATGTACGAAACCAAGGTGCATTGTTGCTGAAACCCAACATCCGCACATTAGCGCTGTCCTCTTCGGTGTCAGTCAATTCCTACTCAGTATCAGTATTTATGTCAAATTATTCTACATTATTGTCGGGTCCATCCTCATCCACAGAGTTATCGTATTCACTGTCGTAAGGGTTTATTTCTTCCCCTAGCTGTAAAAGTCTTACCTGATCTGCCTCATAAGACATTTCTCTAGAAATAACAATTTTTTAATAAAATACATGCAAAAATACAACCACAGTATATTCTTACATCTGAAGAAATTTTGTTACGCGATTAATAACGTCGGTCTCACAGACCGTATTTCTCAATTTTCCCGCACTAAATCACTCGCTTCTAAAAAACCCTGCAGTAGACTGATGAGAATGACATTGCTGGAAGGTACTGAAAAGCGCGCCTCCTCACCTCAAAAATTGTGCGCGTAAATTGCATCTCTCCGTTGAGTCGGTCTATGAGACCGTACGTTATTACTGAAGGGTTAAGCGGCTTGACTCTCCCCCACCCTTTATTTGACAAGTTAACAAAAAAGTTCATAAGGAAAGTCGTACAGTTTTTTATGGTCTTTTGACTAAACTTACTAGATGTTTCACTTATCGGAACAATTTCTGAATAAAATCGACTTTTTAAAATACCGTTTACAATTAAGCCATCTAGTGGTCATCTGAGAAATATCAAAATAATTTCCAGCAAAATATTTTCTTCAAGTTATCAATTTTTGTTCCGATCACTCTACAACACATACTTTCCAAGATACGGCCGCTTACCATCCTTATTGCGACACCCTGTATACCTTGGTCGAGAAGGCTGTTAAATACCTCGCACATTATATCCTTCTGAGCTGCGCGCCTCAGGATATAAAAATGTTCAGTATATATGTAATAGCTTAGTTCTCGCCCTAGATATAGATACTAATATAGCCCTCTTCACAGCAAGCAGGTGAGGCCCCAAATTTAAGGCTAGCCAAGTAATACATTACATGAATTTATCTAAAGCCGAGAAGCCAGATTCGACGTATCTGTGGCATATCAAGGGTCAATATTGGTTGTTCGGCCTTCGCTTTGCAGATATCTCAATTTGTCTTTGCAGTCCGCCATACATCAATTTGAACGGTTTGTCAGAGCAACAGATCGCTAAACTAACTATGTGACTGATCTATAGACGAATAGTTACTGAATTAAGAAATATGTCTGATAAAAATTAGCGAAGATGACTTTAAGAATTGTGTCGAACTCACGACGGCAAAAAAATATTAAATGTCATCTTTGACTTCCTAGCACCTATGGGAAAACAATCACGTTGCTTTTCCAGTTACTTGTGAACTACTACTAAATGAGTCGTACAATTTTTAACCTATTTGGAAAATAGTTCATTTATTATTGCACTAGTCAAATACACGTCAAAGAGAAGCAATGTGCATGGAAAATAAGTAACAGTCGGAGGCATCGAGTTCTGGTACGCAGACCAGATACTGGAAGAACAGCAAATCTGATTGATAGGTACTACCTAAATAAGAATCTTCCGCCGAATATAAGGTGAATCGCTGGGAGACAGTCAGAAGTGAAGTCATTCCTAGCGTATGACTTCACTTCTGACGTAAATACCACGGTGAGTACGGCCTGATGAAGAAATATTTAAATTGTGAGGTAGTATCAAAGTTCAAAAAAAAATTTTGCAAAGTACAACGCGTGGAGAATAACTTATCGATTGAACAGCAAACAACTGATAATTTTATCACACAATCCTGGTTTTTTAAACTTGTTGGAATCTGGTGATGAAATAATGGCAGATAAGGACTTTCCAAAAATTGAAACAGAATTGTTACAACGGCAGTATGCTCTAATTAAGCCACTATTTGCTTTGGAACCTCAATTCAGTCAAGAACAAGTACTTGAATTATACTCTGTAGCATCTGTCCGAATGCATGTATTTAGAAAGGGCAATTCAGAGGGTAAAGGTATTTAAAATTTTGCGCTGCATGTAATCGTAGAATTGATTGATCAGATTGATGAAATATGTATTTGGCTTACATATTAGCTAATAACAATTGCCACACACACCCAATTTCTAATTTAATTTGAAATTTTGGGAAAAATATTAAATACAAAAGTTGTAGATATTAACGTCTAGTTTATTTTAAGATGGTACCAATTGATACAGGGTGTCTCAAATTACAAACTTAACTTTTTTTTAATGAAATGTCGTACTTTTTATTACATATTTGAGCCATTAGTGAAATTCTATATCTTTTCGATATAAATGTTCTATACTGATTTTCATCTGTTTTTGAGTTAATAACCATTTAAATATTCGGGCAGTCCATTTTAGAAAAATCGAGTTTCGTCAACCACTTGAATTTAAGACACCCTGTAGCAATTGTTATTATCTTCAAATAAACTAGATGTTAATATCTACAACTTTCGTGTATAATATTTTGCTCTAAATTTCACATTAGATGTTAAAACAGGGCGGCCAAAGTTCAATCAATAATATGTCATAGGTACATATGAGTTTCCTAATGTAGTTTAAAATGAGAGCCAATGGTCTCTAAATACATTATTGAAATATGAACATTGTTGAAGGCAATGCTATTTATGTATTATTAACAACGTTATATCAAAGTTGTATATTACTCACAAATTCATCTAATGTAGTAAAATAGAACAAATATAACATATTTTTTTACATTTTTAGTGTGGTAGTGAAGAGGAGGAGTAGTAAGGCGTGGGTGAATGGATTCAAGTCCCCCCTACAGAACTACTACTACTACTAACTGTATTTGACAATTTGCATAAGTACCCTGCTACCTACTGTTCCAAATTACACATCACATTAGTTTCTCTGCAATGCACTTTTTCGCCAAAATCTCTCTACTAATCTGATAAATGCGAAAAGACAAGTTTGGAAACGACCTTAACTTGCATTTCTAACATTAGGTATTCTGTGTTTTTGCAAAACGGAAACCTTAAACTTGAAACTAAAATAAGTCGGATTCAATCAGCAATCATATCAGTTTACAAAACTGATTTGTATTGTATTGACTGACTAACTGACTGTATTTTGTTGAGAGTCTTTCATTTTTTATGCCTAGTAATTATCCGGTTTAAGAAATGCTTTTTTTTTATTTGAAGCTTGAATGTTTCGATTTTATTTCGAGAATTAAAACGGTTGATTCCTCATTTTCTATGACAAATAATGGAGAACACAAGTCACGTCTCTTACCATAAGTTTTGAATCACTGTGTGAAACGTTTTGAAACTAAAAGCAGCAAAAAATAACAACAGCACAACAAAATAAAATAAAGAAATTAGTACTTTGTATTTGCTTTTAGCTTCCAGAGACTGTAACAGTTTGTCATTTTAGTGGCATTTTGAAAATTAACTTATTCTATTAACTATTCTTTATTGCGGTATATTCTTCCGGTAATGCAGAAGCAATTTCTTGTAGTGTCGCTGAAATACTTTCACGAATCGGTTCATTACGTCCTATTTCATTCCATAAATGTTCATTAGAATTCAGATCTAGGCACCTAGCAGGCCGCTCTAAAATGGTAATACCAACAGTTTCTATAAAATTGTGGAAAATCTCCAGTGTTTGCGCTATTCTGATGGTCCAATGGGACAAAAGGAACGTATAGTATGTACAGTTGGTGGCACATAAAAGTAGACTATTATAACAACTTTATTTTCCACGTCGGTCTACATTTGCGTAAATGACATAATACTGACAACTTGTTTTCCTAGTTATTATCAAAATGTCACATTCAGAATTATTAGATCGTTTATTATCGAGGAAGCATGGTCAGCAAACACAGTAGCTGAAAGATTTCCAAAACCAAAGAGAACGATTTATAATTATATGAATTAAATTGTCAAATGAAAACAAGTGTGTGACATATATTGTACCTATGTATATTTGACATATTACGGGAAAAGGTCATTTAGGACTTATCTACGTTTATGTGTTGCGCACTGGACGTACAAATATGTGCCGTCGTTGATTAAGTGATGGGAAAAATATAAAGACATATACATGACTGAGCCACCCTTAAAGCTCTAAATTTCTATTAAAATTTCTTGGTTAATTTTCTCCTGTTTGTTGCTCCACTTGCTTTCGACCCTCTACCATATTACGTAAGACCAATCTCTAATTTAAATCAAACCGGGCCTTTATTTCGAATAAAGTTTATTTGCGTACCGCGGCGTGTTCTGAATAATTTAGGACCTCTTACCTTGCTTTGAAATTTATTTCTTGCAGCCGTTTACAAACTCTTTTCAAAAGATCTTGAACATCAAAAAAAGTTCTCTGGGAAGTTTTAGGCTAGCGACCAGAACGAATAAATGTGTCTTCTGTTGAAAAAAAACAAAGCCTGAGCCACTTCAATCTTTGGTGACATTTTTGATAGTTATCAAAGCTGCAATTCAAGGATTTTCTGCGAAAACCAATGCTTAGCTGCCCGTCAAATGCAACGGAAACTAACTGCAACTAGATTCAAGTGATTTCATTGAAGAAGACATTGTTTGTTTATTAGTTGTAAAAAACGATATTGCAACTGATTAAAACAACTTTAAACAATTTAAATTAAAACATTTAGGTTAAATTAAATTTAAATTAAAACTTATTAATCAGTTGTAATATGGCTTTCAAATTTTCGTTCGTTCCGTTGTCATTTTTTTATATTGCGCTGTTTTTTTATATTATGTTATATTTTCATAGTTATTTTATATAGCGACAGTGAAAAACCTGTTTAAAATATACGAGTACTATATCTTAACTCCAATCAACGGAGAAGTAAATTTGTAATATAAAGTGTGGTTTAATTCAACCCTTGAATATCAAATAAGCGCTTTCGACTGTTAATTCATCATCAGAACCGCTGGAAAACACAAAAAGTTGATATAAGCACCATTGGGGAGTCAAAAACATGAATAGAATAAAATATGGTAAAAAACTTACTAAAATTATAAGGAAACCCCAAAAGCGCAGAACAAAGCATGCCAACCAGTGGTAGAGCGTTCAAAGACACACACTTTTGTAAATTCAAAAAATTAAAACGCTAAATTAAAAGCTGGACTGGATTGGTCGGAATGACTAGTCAGGCGAAAGTCAGTGAAAGTATTAATAGCTCAGAATACTGAATGGAAATTATTTGATATATTGATAAATTACTTACCCATTATGAGCATAATTAGTGGTACAACCGAAAGGCAGACAAGAAGTATCGTCACCATAACTGAAATAAAAAAAATTGTGAAAATATAATGTCGAAATTTTCAACCTTTCTAAGCACTCAGTCCTTTGAAAATAGGTGCATCCTCTTAATTAATGTATTGCTAACTAGGTAAACTGTTTACTTAACAATATTGAAATTGAATAGTATGCACGGTGTTTTTTCTGCAAACTGGGCAAGTATATATCATTTATTCTGACTAAACATCTCACGTTTTCGGAACACCAAAATCAATCACATAAATAAAAATGTAGAGGTCACCTAGAAGACAATGGTGAGTTTGATCCTTAGCATTAAGGGATAAATATCAATTATATAAGGAGAGCTTCCGGTTATACCAGAAGTAGGCATCAAGTTGCTTGTTACATATATTGTTATTTTTAAGATTCTAATCTAAATTCTAAATATATTTCATGTACAACGTTCTATATCTAGGTCTAACCTTTTTTGCTATATTTCGAACTTTATGTAAGTAAGGACAGTTGCAGTCACTCTAATAATTATTAATTTTTATGTGAAACTTAATTTGAGTCGCATTTTTTTTTGAAAAGAACCTTAATGGAATGTAGACAACATTAAAGTTGTCTATTCTAAAATTGTTTAGTTTTCGAATTATTGTCAATCCAATAGGCATGATGACAGTATAAAGGAATCAAAGAATAAACGTTTTTAGAGGAAAATTTGTGTTGAAAGGATTCTAAAAAGTGACCCATTATTAATATAAGTATTGTAATCAATAAGATTTTTAAGATAATAAAAGTAAAAAATACAGCAGTCGGTCATCTTGCTTGAAAGACGATTCCGAGCGCGTCGAAGGCCGTGACGTCATCGACCCTTGAAGTAATCAGCAGCGCGCCTGTGCTGTGTCCCATTAATTGTTGTGAGTAGTGATGGGCTAGTCGGGTCATTTTGATGATTCGGATCGTTTTAAAGATCAGAATCATTAGAACCCGGTCGTCGGAGAGATTCGGAACCCGTACTCGGGATTCGGATCAACAGATCAGTACCAGAATTAGAGAACCAGAACGATAGAACATAGGTACACTCCCAATTATTAGAGGTAGTCACGTCAAGAAAGATAAAAATGTAATAATTTTAGTCAACATTTAATTTATTGCGGAAATAACGTTTTTTTCCGGAAATAGAAGACGCGTACGTACATTATACAAGGGTATTTCAAAATCTGTCATCATGCTTATTGTCCATAAAATTCTTGAAAATAATAATATGCACCCCTACCACACTGTTTAAGACCAGGCGTTAAATGTTGTTACTGGCAGTTAAATATGATTCGGGAAGATCAAAATTCCAATTATTTAATTAATTAAGACCGATATCGAATAATTACAAGATGGTTTATTTTCTTGGGAATTCGGTCTGGGCAGGTAGCTAAAAACATGTTTCTTTTTTTTCACCACTGCCCAGACCGTGTAACGGTTAAAAATGGAATTTAGTCAATGGTTCACCTGTCTGCTAACCCGTTGTTCAAATGTTAAATGTAGTAATAAGTTATAATTGTAATAAGCTATTTTTGTCAACCGATTTTCATTTGTAACTTGGATTTAGTAAGCACGTTTGTCAGATTAGGTTAGTAATATTTTGGAGATTATTTGAATTTTGATGTTTGGATATTTGTATCTCTCTCCCAAACATCAGCAGTCTTTATCATGGGTTTGTCTGGCAACGTGGTGGTTGCCCCACCTTCACGTACCACCGTTATTGATCGGAAGGGACGAGGAGTGGATCCAGTAGGGTCACCGAGCGAAGGGCTCTCTCTCTCACTCTCTCTCTCTACTAAATTGTCATTTAAATCGTTGCCTTAATTAAATAGTTTTTTCATTAAAGGTTGATTTTTATTCTTTTGTTCTGTCCGAAATTTGTCGTGTTGCAACCGAATTCCTAAGAAAATCATCCATCTTGCAATTATGACGTATTATGGAGCGACGAGACCACTTTCAGTAGCACAGGAGGTGTGAATTTGTATAATATGCATTATTGGTCGGAGCAACACCCACATTGGATGCGGCAAGTAGGGGTACCAAAATTGCTGGCGTCTTGACATATGGTGCGAAATCGTGGCATGAAAAATTATAGGACCAGATTTTTTTGACCAAACACTTAATGGAGAAATGCTCTTGGGATTTCTAAACGTTTTTTTACCACCGCTTTTGGAAGATGACTCTCAAACAAGGAGCAAAATGTGGTTCCAGCTTGATGGTTGTCCGTCTCATTATAATCGAAGCGTAGCGTCCCAGCATTTAGACGAAAAATTTGCAAATTGAGTGATTGGAAGAAAAAGGTCTGGCAAACGCGTTCACCAGATCTGTCTTGCTAAGCTATTTATGGGGTCGATGAAAACACCTGGTTTTCCCAGACAAACCCATAGCCAAGAAAAATATGATGGGAATAATTACAAATGCCATTAGAACCTTGTCCAGGGCTGAGATTGAAGAAGCAGTTTTTTCTACCGAAATTAGAATAACTAAATGTATTGAGAATGATGAGACATTTTGAACATTTGTGAGATGTTTTTGGCTTGACTTTGTGTTGTTAATTCTAGGACTTTTACTGTGTCATTGTTATTATTTGTGCCGTTCGCCCGTTAGCTTGAAGCACGCTTCAAAACTGATTTGGAATTTGGACTCGCTAATTGGAATAAAGCGTTTCAAAAATTTACAGTAAAAAAAGTATTTCCATTTTTTTCTATAAATCGAGAGCGACTGGAAATATAACGATGGGGTTTTCACTGAAATGTAGGTTATTTCAACTTGTGTAAAGGCATGTCAAACTAAGAGTCTCGTTTCATTTAACTATTTTCCAAATATTCCAAAATTTTGTAATGGCGATAAAAAATACCATCTAGTTGTTTTGTTTCAGACTTAACGGTTTAAGTAAAAATGGCGTTTAAAAGATATTAAAATGCTCTTTCGAACTAGTCCAAAAATAGTGAAATCAGTTGAGTACTTCAGGAGATATTAAAATGTAAGTATTGAAAAATGATTGGCCTCCCCGATTTTTATTATGAAAGACACAAAAAAAATCTTTAAGAGATAAACGATGCGGTATTACCCAAGTTCTCAACTGACGTTTTTAAAGTTATAGCTCATATTTCCCTTTTCCAAGATACCAAGACTTGTTTTGTGGTAGAAGTTACGCGTTACGCGAAGACGTTCGAGCTACGAACTTTAATCCACTTTACAGCCATTTTTTTGCCAACTTTACTTATAAAGATTTTTTTCCCGAACCCCTAGTCCTTACAGTTGTCAAGATAGAGCCGCTCTGTACCCTTATCGAGACACCCTGTACAACGAATAAAATAAAATAATAAGGCCATATTTCAAAACTTTCGGTTGAGCGAGTTCTAGGGAATTGTAAGGAAAGCAATGCTTTCCTTGATTCCATGGACCGCACGCGGATACCGCCATTCATCAAGAATCGTTTTTCCTGTAGGAAATATTAGAGAACAGAACCTTACCAAAAAACATTTGTTATTGTAAACCACAAAAAAGTTTTATGGAATAAAACGGCTTCAAAGTACTGCAGTACAGCTCTTTGGAAATAGGTAAGTACGAAATTCTGTGAAGTGAAAGCTGTGAAGCTAATTACGAAACTATTCGAAACCGAGCAAAATGTATTTTAAACTTTGATAGCCTAGTTTGACTATTTGGATATTACTTTATTGGCCTACTTTTTCGCACCACCCTATTTATTTTTTGACAATTGAAGTATTTGGAAATAATTGAAAAGTAATTCCTTTCATGAATTAGATAACCTAAGCTCAACTGGATTGTTTTTTCGAGTTCCATCTATTGCCTTTTCACACTGATGTCCGGCAACAGGTTTATTCATATGTATAGTCTGTACGCTATAACTTTGGTCGCACGTAATCGGTGACAAAATTTGACTACCAACATAAAAACAATTATGCATGAAATTTGTGAGATAAGTCGAATATTTCTTGTTGTGTTTTGGGCATTGGAGAAACTCAGGCAATCGTAAAGTACCAAACAATTTTTGAATACTACCGAATTTAAATCTATGTTGATTATTTATGTTCATCTTTAAAATTATTAGGTAGGTGAAAATTAGGATGCTGTCCAATCGACACTTTGTATATTCAATAAACAAAAAAATAATGTAAAATTTTATACTTAGTGATGATTCAATTTTCTAAATGTTTCACCAATAATTAAACAGCGAACATAAACTTACCAGTCTTATTTACAATTCCCAATGCTTTGCAGACAAAATCACAAGTTCCGCTTGCCTCTAAATTAGCATCCTTCAGTTGGTATGCAACTGATCCATAGGTGGTAAGAGTCAGACTCAAGTTGAGACCTTCACCCATTTCCCGTACGTATTTCTGATCGCCAAACAAGCGACGCTGCTCATCACCTGAGACCTGTGACATCCCCACCTGTTTAATTTAGCTCACTTTGGGAATGGTAAATGAAAATGAATTCTACTGTTCTAAAGTAGCCATTCAATTTATAGTGCGACAATGATGCAAAAGTATATAAATGATTCTAAGGTTACATTTTTACTTTTCTAAGTAGGCAATTAAAAGCTCAACCGACTTTTAAATGGATTGCAGGCATAGAGATAATTAGACTCAAATTTTAAAAATCGGACTAGACAGTCGTGCTTTGATTCACTATATTCGACAACATCAAATTTTTACCTGGCTAACAGAACTGCTTGCTCTCCGAGAACCGCTACTTTCCATTGTCGAATTGACCCCATAGGAGGAATTTATATTTCCTTTAGAAGCAGACCGATAAGAAGGCGAGGAACTTTTTCCCTTGGAATCTAAAAAGTAAACATACAGTGGGTCTCAGAAGAAATGTCTAACACACAATGTGTGTTTTGCACATGCAACATTGAAAAAAAAGTTGCTGTTTATTTCATTTTTTAATTCTCCATTGAATGATAAGTATGATTCAGGTTACACGTACTATACTTAAACTCAACTGTTTTAGATAAATGTGGAATTGCACCTATTAATAATTGATGACGACTATTTCTTTCAAATTTCTGTAGTCCTGATAAAGAACGACCTCTTTCAAGAAACAGAACAACAATCAAATTATAATAAATGTTCAAAATATGTGCCATTGAAGGCTTGAGAATCTTCCCGGCGATCCATAAACTGCTCTATACTTTTTCATCGATTTTCTGGGCTATGACACACACTTCTTTTCGGATCTTTTCTTTTAACAACAATTAAAATTGTTTGGCCTGAAAGCAAATACTTTCGATTTGAGGAAACTCCGCAAAAAGAAAGCTATTGAAGTTAACTCGGGCGATCTAAGTAGGTGGCCATTCACTAGGTCGTCTCCTTCCTATCCGCTGATTAGAAATTGAAAATAAAGTGATCAATGTTGGAATTAAGTCAAGTTGCCGAAATTCTAGAAAAACTTGTCCAGGGAAGACTGTTTTAAGAAAAATGGTCCTTTTACTTGATACTATATACCTCTATTATCCAAAGCGGATTTTATGTTGCCTAATATCGACAATTTTTTCGGTTCACATAGCTAGGTCCCAATGACCCCAATCTGAGAAAGAGAAGAACATGAATTTTCTTCCAAAGAAAGTAAATCGTCAAGTTGTTCATTTTCATCGCGAGCAGAGTGTCTTTGTTCTCTACTATGATAAGAATTTTTATTTGACTCAGATGGTGTAAGCGCATCTCGAAAAAATGGAGCGACGACTAAAAGGTGTTCGAGTTTCAGACATAGGGGTATTGGAGAAAATTGTAGCACAGCTTTCCAAAAGTACACTAGGAGCATTGCACAACAACTAGCACTTTAGCAGGCAACTATGTACCAGATAATTGCTGCAGAATGGGTGTATTCCTACCCTGTATGTAAGATACACAAACATTTCTTGTCTCTCGAGTACAAATTGAACAGGAGTAAATTGAACAGTAATAAACCAAATTCGAGAAGCTACTCAAAATGTGAGCTTAGTAATGGCGGAAAGAGTGCATAATAACGTGGTTACACAGGCACAAACATGTTTGGAGTTAAACGGACAGAACTTCTTGTGAGCTGTCCACACTTCAAAACGGTTCTTTGATTATGTTGCCAAAACGGTTTAGTATTCCAAAGACTTCCAATTTAACATTTTCGTAATGAAATGATGAAATTGGTCATGTATATTTTAATATCTTGTCACTATTCGGAAATATTAAGTTAAAATTAAATAAGAAGTTAAAATGCTTTCGATAAACTATTTGCAGCAACGCTTTTCAATACTTTTGTTTATAAACCATACTCACATTATTTTTTATCGTAGATTCTAATGCAAAAGTTTCTACGTCTAATATAAATCACATAGATAATATGTCCGCTACTTAAATAGTAGGTACCATTTTCTGGAGTATTATAGAATATTTCTAGTTAATGTTCAATTACGCAAATCATAAAAACTCACATGTGGCATTATCTGCACTCGCTCGCCTCTCCTTGCCTGGTGGTTCTTGAAAAGTCAATGTCAAACTTCCTCTGGAGCTTCGGATTTCACTTCCGATATTGTTCCTGGCCGCAATACTTCCTCGAGGACTTCGATTGACCTCCTGCCCATTGTCAGGACCGATACTGCCCCTTGGCAATCGTTGCTCCAATCCATAATCTAATGAATTAAAAACGATAACCTTTACGATATTTCTATGTATCTCTACGATTTGTAAAACTAAAAATAGTCAAATTAAATGTAGGTACTAAAGTAATTTAGATCCCTACAGGGTGTCCCACCGGAAACTGCCGCGATAGATATCGATATGTATACAGGGTGTTTGGTAAGTAGATGCATTCCTTGCAGGGGGTGAGAGTGCAATTAGTTTTGGATATATTTCGCTAATCGACCAGGTTCCGAAAACCATTAGTTTCCGACCTACAGGGTGTTAAAGTTTTAATTAAAAAAATGTTATTTATTAATATTTCGAAAACGGCATGGACTATTATAATGAAATTTGACAGGCTTTGCCAACTCAGAACAGTACACGTTTTGCGTTAAAAATGTTGTTTCTATCTTTTCCAGTGGCGTGGCTACAGGCACGTCTGTGGATAATTTTAAATAAAAAAATGTTATGCCACTGATTTTCCTAAAAGTAAGTAATATTTTTCAAGTTCCTGTTCAATTGAAAAGAGAAAAGATCTATTCACTTTTTTTCTACGACGTCCCGTTTGCGAGTACACAAATTAAAATCGATTTATTGCACTGTAGGCTCTGTAATAGTTATTGACTTATTGACAAAATTAATAATTGCTGTCATTTTGCGTGTCTGAGTAACTTACTTCTACGTAATTTCGACCAAATTCACCTTCGTTGAAAACTTTATTTGTTGAAATAGCTGAGTTTTCCAATGCTGAATACGCATACAGAAATAGTGGCGGCTTCCAAATATTCTTTTCTTTGCAAAGACCTATCGAAGAGTCAGTGAGTCAGGAAAAGTACAAGGTAGGCAAATTCACGTAGGACCAACTGTACGGGAGTACCTTGATCAGCGTTTTCCTAATCGATGGATGGGGAGAGGACGCCCCATATTATGGCTTGCTAGAAGCCCAGATCTAACTCCGTTAGACTTTCACGTATGGGGTAGGATGAAAGACAGCGCATTACAGATGCCGCTATTACACTTAGACATACATTTTCGGCCAGGGCGACACGGACAGAAATAAGAAGGCAGGCACATGCATGCGTTAGAGAAGTCGGCTTCATTTTGAGCAAGATCTTAAGTTGTTAAGAATTAATGAATAACATAATTTTTTTCCGTATCAAAGCAAGTTTGGTGCGCATTTCAATACTACGAATAAGTAAAATTTTAATTAACAGGTAAATTAATCTAATAGTTAAAAAACAAATAAAGAAACTCTAAGACTGATGTCAACTGCGGCTAGTAATAATTTTAGTAATAAAATTGATACAACCTAACTGCGCAATTTTTGCTGTCTTTATACTAAACCATACCTAATTACAACCCGAATTAGCTATGCAAAATATGGACTTTCATTTGTTTACTCGCAAACGGGACGTCGTAGAAAAAAACGTCAAGAGACGTTTTCTCTTCCAAATGGAACAGGAACTTGACACATATTATTTGTTTTTAGAAAAATCAGTGGCTTAACATTTTTCTATTTAAAATTACCTATTATACAGACGTGCCGGTACCCACGCCACTGGAAAAGATAGAAACAACATTTTCATCACAAAACGTGTACTGTTCTTAGTTGACTAAGCATGTCAAATTTAATTATAATATTCCCAGCGGTTTCCGAAATATTAGTAAATAACATTTTTTTAATTAAAACTTTAACATCCTGTGGATCGGAAACTAATGGTTTTCGGAACCTGGTCTATTAYCGAAATATATCCAAATTTACTTGCACTATCACCCCCTGCAAGGAATGCATCTACTTACCAAACACTATTTCAAAAGTGTTTAGTTTTGTAAACATTGTACACTGTCACTTTTAGTTGCCACGACAACAGTGACCATTTTAATACAACTAAATGTCAAAGGAATACGTACAGCTGTCAGTTACCTTTTGAAAATAATTAATAATCATACCTAGACAAGTTATATCAAGAACCTGTTAAATATTATTAATTATTATTAAATGAATTATAATTATATCAAGAACAAAAACAGTTTTTTCTAAATCAACAGTTCTCTAATTTTTCTGGTTTCTTTTATAAATTGCACTGTTATTTAGATGTATCCAAAATTCTTGAAATTTTCTGTAATTTATTAACAGCACAGCGTGAAACTTCTGATTTTGTGAAAATCAAATGGCAAATGTGTCACATGTTCTTGGTTTAGATTTATCACATTCTCCATAAGTAATAAATAAGTGTAAATAATCTTCGTTTGTATAATTTAAGCGCCTGGGCATGATTATTAATTATTTTCTAGTACTGTAAGGTAACTGACAGCGGTATTTCTTTGACATTTGATTGTATTAAAAATGGCCACTTTCGTCATGGCAACTAAAAGTGACAGTATTTAAAATAATATGCGACAAAATGGTTATATGAAAACATTAAATTCACAATATTTAGAAAACTAAACACTTTTGGAATAGACAACCTTACCCAAACTTACCGTTATATTTAATGCTGAATAAGATCAAATTATCGAAAATGAGGGTTTTCATTTGGGAAAATTAATTTTAGGCGGTTTTCTCAACGTCATTTTGGAATTTATTTTTTAACAGTTCGTATTAATAGTTATCAAAATGTAGTCAATACTCAATTAATTGCAAAAGCATTGCAGTCTTTTTCAACAAGAAATGTGACACAAATTAAGTAGAACACATTCCCTTATAGGAAAAATTAATAATTATTCGATTGGCTGCAACTGTCATTTTTCACATAAAATTTCAAATATATCAAAAACCGTTAGACTTATTATATCATTATAATATATATTAAAGATATTATACATGAGATATATTTCGAATTTGGAGTGGAACTTAAAAAAATAAAAATATGTAATAAGTAACTAAAAATATTCTTATTAAATGCCCATAGATCGCTTGCTTTCAATCACTTCGGCACACTGTCCAATTTTCAAATTTCTCCTAATTATAGTTGGCCAGATATCGATCTCAGTTCAACAATGATGATGAATAAAATAGAACTTTTCTATCAATGTTACCAGCATTGCAGTCTATTAAATATAACTCAATACCAGAAAGTATCGTTATCGCTTCCGAGTTTAAGCACCCACGTACCTAAAGTGCTTCCTCCTGTAATACTCCCTCTGGGGCTTATACGATATGAAAATGCTTCCAAGGCTGCGCTGCCTCGGGGACTTTTGTTCGATTCCACAGGAGTTAAGCTATGTCTAGGACTTCGGCTTGCCGCTGCTGAAAGCAACATCTGTTTTTAGGTATTGTATTCCACTTGGGCGTGTCGAAACACACCCAGTTTGGACTCTGATTATTTATCTCTTCGAAAATATGCTTCAGTTTTATATTTCAGTAAAAATACATTTCAAATACAAAATTTTTAAATAGTAAAAATGGCCTGAAAAATAAAGTGTATTGTATTAATTATAAACTCAATTTTTAAAATTTGTTGAAAAAAAGTTGAAATTTCATTTTCGCTTAAGACCTTCAAGCAATGTAGTATTGCCATCTTTGGTATTGCCTTTGGTATTGCCATCTCTTGAATCAAAAAAGGGTTCAAATCATTCCAAGTAGAGTTCGAGCAAGAATAGCAATTGAGATGAACAAACATTATTTTAAATGACACTAAAGGAGCGAAAATGCATAAAAACCAGTAAAGCTTTGTCATGATGCATGAAACACTACATGCTTTCCGGAACCGAAAGTGTTTAAAAAGTCAGATGCCGAACAAAATGTTAAAAAAGCAATTAATATTTCAGACTAATTTACGTAGTTGTGCACCATTAAAGGTAGTATTTATTCACAAACACCAGACATATTGTCACATTAACATATTGTTCTCCGCTTTTTATTGAGGCATTTTTGAGCATGATAGATGTCTTTATATTCAACTGGGTTTAGGTTAAAAAATAGTCCTTCTAAGAAAGTGCAGTTATCGCCTATACATTTTACGTCGGTGCGGAACTAGTTGTTGTTGCCATCTGTCTTGGCCTGACTCTCAAGATTAATTGCTTTTTAAAATTTCACTTCTGCTGGAATCGCAATAATCAGAAACATAATTTTAAAAAATAGAGGGATTTTTTAAAAGTTGTTTCACGCACAGAATTACAATTAGTATTGTAACGGAAATGGCCTGGGGTACTCACGATTGGAATGGGGGGATCGAAATTCATGGTATTTCAGTAAATGGGAGCCCCATGTGCGCCCCATTTACTGTTAAATATGACACTGACAAGCGGGAAATTTCGCACCTGGTCTGGAGATTTCGAGAACCGTCTGGGTTACCTGGAGAAAACTATATAAGCGGCGACGA